CTCTCCCGCTTGTGGAAGGTTACTATCCCGATCTAATCTAGATTTGGGGATTTTTGCATGTATGATATCGAGGTTTCGCTTCCCTCGAGTTTCATTGGTGTACAAGTCCAGTTTCAGGTGTCAGATCTTTGTTCGTTCAATCTCGTTACTCTGAGCGTCGATGGTATTGGGGATGCCGAACCTGGGCGCTCATAGCCGAAAGGCAGAGCCGTAGAAACAAATGGAGATCTCGGTGTGTACTCATTACTGAAGATGGATTCGGTGATCGGCCGCCGATTTTGATTTGGAGAAATCACAGATTTGCTCTTTGAGCGGATGACCCCTAACCTTATTATGATAATTCATCTTGTTATCTGGAGCTTATTTTGTTTTGAATTTGTCTGATATTTTTATTGATTTGCAGGCATTGTTTTTCTTTTGTATTTCCGTAGAAATGAATGAAATGTTATGTTGACAAAAAAAATACATAAATAAATAAATAAAAATTCAGATACATATATCATTCCTACAAGAAAATCGAGATATTGTTATTCACCTGGGGCGAGGCATCCGAAATTCGGATAGTGCTAAAGCGTGAACAATGGATGGAAAACATTAGAGAGGTAAACTGGGATCTGAAGACATTTTAGCATGTAACTTTCTGCTTTGATATCGTGCAATGTTAATTAAACTATCGGTATGTTGGTTACTGACCACCCAGTATAATGTATTATTACTTAGCTAATTTGTGATCTATGTGTGACCCATCCATGGATGTGCTTTCTTTCAATGGCCCCATACGAACTGACCAACCAAACACGTATTATGTTCCAACCAGACACATACCCAGCGGGTTGGCAAGAAAGACATATACTCGAGTTCACCTAATCTCTGGTGCTACATTGTATAATCATGAAAGGGGGCTCATCATGAGAACCGGCGCCTACTTGCCTTATCTCTAGGGTTTTGGACATACAATGACTGCTCCCCGCTCTTTATTTAAACATCCCGTATGGGACATCTACTAATGATTATGCATTTAGTTCTCTACACCAAATGCACGTAACGAGTAAATCCCGATTATGTGTGTAGACCCAAATTGTGGGTATAGATGTACTCCGTGAATATCAAAATGAGAGAAGAAATTATCCAATCAATTATAAACGGGAAAATTACTAAAAAAGTTATAAACTTATAAACCTTTTTTTTGCCAATTAAATTATAAATTTTTTGTATTTGTGTCAATTCGGTCCATCCGGCCAACTTTGGTTGGCCAGCACTAGACCTGTCAAATGGGTGGGTCGGGTCGGATTTGGATCGGGTCATAAATGATCCGACCCAAATTGACCTATTAACCCATTTATGATCCACTTATACGTAATGCAATTTTATTGACCCATACCTGACCCGAGCCATACCCAACCCATACCCAATCAGACCCATATTACTAAAATACTTCCATATTTAATTAAATCTAGGAAAATTCATACTCAAACTGAGATGAGAGTGCGAAGTGAGTGGCGCAAGATTGAGTGAGGGCGAGAGAGATGAGTTGAGTTTAAATCAGTTGTAAACTCATTTATGACCCATTTACGATCCATTTATAACCCATTTAATGCTAATATTAGACTTTTACCTATTTATGACCCATTCATTAAATATAACTAACCCATTTATAACCCATTTACTAATATATGGGTTAAGAAATGGGTTGATGACCCATTTTGACAGATCTAGCAAGCACTGACGTGGACACCGGCCATCCTACGTGGCACCGCCGACGCTGACGTGAATAATTTTTAATAATATTTTTATTTTTTTGAATTAATTTATTTATTGATTTATTCCTTTTTTTTCTTTTCTTTTTTCTCTTCCCTCCTCCTTCTTCCTCTAGTCGATAGCCGAACCTCGACGATCTACCAAAGGCGACAATTAAGTAAAAGAAAATAAATAATAAATATTATTAAAAATTGTCAACGTTAACACTGACAATGCACGTCGTACGGTTGGCGTCCAAATTACTGCCAGCCAACCAAAGTTGATCAGATAGACTGAATTAACATAAATGTAATAGGTTTAGGACTCAATTAGCACAAAAAAAAAGTTTAGCACTTAATTGGCACCATTGCAATAGGTTTAAGACTTTTTTTTTGTAATTTTCTCATTTTAAACCTATTCACTGACGTGGCGGTGTACCACATAGGAGGCCGACGGTGATTGGATCGCCATGTCAGTGATTTTCCGGCGAAAATTGATCGAAAATATTATATTGGAATCTTGCGCAAAATTTTATGACCAAATTGGCACAATTGAAAAGTTTTGGATTAGCATCCACACAATGAATTTAAGATTATATGAGTAATTTTTTCCGAAACTTTACGAGTTTTTTTCCTTCTATTTATCAAAATCCTTAAAACAATTTCAACAACCGCTTCATCAAAACACGAAGTATACATTAAATTTAGAAAATCAACCATCACCCTAGAGAATCTCGACATAGCTTTCGCCGGTATTAATGTATATTCATTTTGGACTTCGAAAGTTTCTTGTAATCTTAATCCATAACAATCTTCGTATCGAACCCACAAATGCCTATTTATTTTAGTCAAATTGAAATGAGTAAAAATTTATCTTCGAGTGAAATCAACGCCACTCGGTCGGGAAATTTTCTTTCCCTTTTTCTTTTTTTTTTTCTTAGGCACGACATAACGCACATTCACGCTTGGTCTTCTCCCACTTTCGATCGTGGACTTTTCGCACGAAACATGCTTCTGCATATTCAATTTTGCTTCCATTCACGTCGGAGTCAAAATCTCAAAGTGGACGCATGCTTTTCTCGACTTTGTGTCTAATCGTTGACCCAAAATCGAAGTCAGCGCATGATTTTACCTTAATTCTCGTCAGCCCATTATGAGAAGCACAAAAAATTGAGCAGACCTCATTCCCCAATTTAACGTGACTCTAGAAATTCACGAGTTAACCGGTTGATACGAAGCTGACATATGTAGAATGGACTCTATTGGACATCACAAATCACTGACTATAAACGGTGGAAATACTCCAATAGACGATAAATGCATATGATTCAGTATGATGAGATCGAGTCTATTTTAACTTAAATCAAGATGCTTGTGTAGTTGAGGAAATCGAGCGATCAATCACACCATTTTCTCCACTCGATGACTTTCCCCATACGACATCTCCTATGTATGGTGCGAAAGATTCAAATAACTTTAGTTTTGATAGGTATCCCAACGCTATTTACCCAGGGCGAATCTCCTCATCATTAGGAAAAAAATAGATACTTCACAAACATCATCCACCATTGGAAAATTCGGAAATTCTTTATTTTTGATACCCAAAAAAGGAGCTAATCACGGTAATTAATTTCACCCGTTTAAATAACTTCAAAATGCAAAAACCCACCGTTTATATTTACAAGTAAATTAAACAAGCCCCGTTCATACATTTGTGTATACTTGTTCATAGTTTCCTCTTTACAGCTTCTTTTTCTTTTTTTCTTTTCTTTTGTTTTTGGAAGAATCGGCCTCTTTGGAACACGGCCATGGAAGATTCCTCGAGAAAATGTCCACACTCGAATTCGTTTCGCAGGCCCTTCTTCTTTTTCTACACATTTCCCTGCTTAGAATATACGGTTCTTGACTCTTTCTCTTGCTGGGAAACGCGAACGCGTCATACGACTTTACAATACACACACATTCGAGAGACCCCTTCCGCTTTCTCCCTTCCTTACTCCTAGGTTGTTGTTCTTCTTCTTTTTTCACATATGCCGACAAGAACCGTTCTGGCCAAGAAAAAACAAACGCCACGAGCGTGACGGAGTACGTAGGCCGTGTCCTCGGTCCAGAATAAAGGTCGTTTGTCCACTCAAAACCGGGTCAATGATTAAGAATTTTCCATTTATAAGAGGGCCATACCATATTCGGGTTTATGTAAAAACGTCGAATATTCTAAGATGGGAATTAAGACTTCTATGACAAAATTGCTCAGTGTGAAGCTTCTATTCCTAAAAGGGGCAAAATTACACATTGACCCCCTTTTGGACTTCCCCTTTTTCCCTTCTTGCTTTGTGCTTCATACCCCCCAATATGAGTTTGCCCCTAGTTATCATTGTACGTGATTTTCTTTTTCCATATCGAGCCATCGCGAGCATTTAATTCCTGTATAAATGGGTATGATCATCAAGAGAGATTGTTTGACAACAATTTGTTCAGCCGAAGATTTGAAAATTTCAGACAAGATCATATCTTTTTGCAATCACGCGAGCATTGGCGCTTTCATTATTTAATATCACGATAAAAACGAAACAATCTAGCTAGACTTAGGCGGGAGGTTTCCGAATCCAACACAAAATGAGATGGTATTGAGATGCGGTGCTCGAGTAAACATTCATCCTGTGATGAGACTAGACTTAATCGTCTTTCCCTTATCATTAATGACCTAAAGTGAAGCACATCATGTTGTGCATTGCGATTGGAACCATAATTACACGAGTTCTTGGTTACAAGACTCTAAGACACTTTCTTAATTCCCGTTTAATCCAAGATTTAGCAAAACGTAATGTCCCCCCAATTTTATGAGAGACATGCCGAACAAATTCAAATTCGCAGCGGATTCTATGATCACAGCACTCCAACTGTAAAAACCTCGAAACCTGAAAAAAAAAAAGGAAGAAGAAGATAAAACACGACACGTGCACGTGTGAAAAGCGTACAGCCTCCTTATCCGAGCGTGAACCACTTGGGCGGGGGTTAAAACCGGAAGTACACAATGACGATACAAATAGAATAATGCACGACAATCTCTCTCTCTCTCTCTCTCTCCTCCTTAAAGACCGAGCCGAAATGGAGAGCTCGAGCTAGCTGCGAACAACGAGCCCCAGAAATGATGTAACAGGTGGAGCCCAACAGCTAGCGACGAGGACGAAAGCGGGAGTGCGCACGAGAATTCAATTCACACACCAAACCAAAAACAAATCGAATAACGCAAAGGAAACGAAATTGAATGCAACGCACGGGAATTTTCTTTTCCTCAAATCCAAACATCTCTTTTTATTACTCAATTTGCTCGGGTGGGGGAATGGGATTCTCTCTTTCTTCTTCTTCCTCCTCCTCCTCCTCTTTTCCTTTTTCCCATTTTCTCAGGAAAAAAAAAAAAGCACTTGAAAAACAATACATTATAGATATCATATCATCATCACCGCCATCGCCATCGCCATCGCCATCGCCATCACCATCTCCATCTCCATCACCATCCATAGCACATAACATACCACATACGCATATCAATTTGGTTAATACTTTTCGGGAGCGAGTGGAGCTCAACGCCAAGCGGATGCGACGGTGAGAGTTCGGCCGAGCCAGCCGAAGCAAACCCCACCATTCTCTTCTTTCACCGTGAATCCCGGGTTGACCCGGTTCCCACTGATGAGCCTCGCGTTCATCGATTCGGCCACGTGTTGACTCAGTGGCTTCGGCTCGAACCCGGCCATCCCCATGCGGGCCCTCCACTTCCCGAACACCTCGCATCTCTCCACCCGGTCCCGGCCTTCGCAAGCAACCGAGTTCCCCAATTTCCGACTCAGCCCCTCCTCCACCCTCGCTCGCTCCGGGCTGTCCCTCGCCACCGTGGACTCGATCGAGTCGAGCAGCGCCCCGTAGTAACCGAGCGCCTCCCCGACCCGCATCGCGAACGGCGCCGTGTTCCCGTTCATCTCCTGCTCCACCAGCGTCACCACCCGCGGCGCCAGGCCCTTCACGCGCCGGAGGAGCTCGTCCCGCGGGTTCTCCACGGACACGCTCTCGTCCGGCATTCTGTACAGCTTGAACGCGAAGTTCACCGCCAGCACCTCGTTGGGCTCGCACCCCAGCGAGTCGCGGCTCAGCTCGCTCGGCTTCTGGCTCACGATGTTGAATTCGAACCTCACTCCCATCTTGGCCGCGATGTCCCTTAGTCTATCCTCGACCATCCTGAGCCTCTCCTCGCCGTTGAAGTTATCTGCGAGCGTCGTGATCTTGAGGGTGGATTGATTGCCCGCCTGACGCGCGGACAGCGCGTGGAGGAGATTGAGGTACTGTCCTTCCTGACCAACATCGAAATCAATTACATGGAGCTTGTTCGTGGTGGGTTGCTCCGATGCAGCTTCCAAAATCGCGAGATTGGCAGCCATGAAACCGAGCTTGAAACAAGGAGACAGATCGTAGAGTGAGTGAGTCGACGACACGTGGTCCTTGGCGAACAACTCGGCCACGGGAGGTGGGTTCTCGACGGGGCTCACGCGCGATTTGAGCGCAGACAACATGTAATCCATCAATTTCTGCTCTGAATTACCTTTGGGGTTCGGCACGGCAGACAAGCGCGCCAGGATCTCCGAAGCAACGTCTGCTTTGCCCTCGTATATCGCCGTCGCAGCCTCCATTAGCGACTGCTTCGAGCAGATGGATACCGGCGACGGCACGGACAACGAAGACGAAGGCGAGGACGACGAAGAAGACGAGGTCGGCGACGGAGATATCTGCTTCTGACCCGGACTTATGAGACTCTGAATTGTCTCGGACCACTCGCTGTTAGCGTTAGTAATCACGGAGACGGCGTCCCCGTCCCCGTCCTCCTCGTCGTCCAAGAGCTGCTTTTCGAGCTCCTGCAGACGATTCATCATCTTGTTCTCCGGCTCGGCTTGGTTAGGATTCACTCTGTTCTGGAGCACGTTCGCGAACGAAACTCCCGCCAGAGCTTGATTACTCACGTGGATCGCCCCGTTACCGAGAGCAATGGGCTGTGGCCTGAGCTGCTGAAGGAGAGGAGCACCGTACCTTTGCGCGGAGAAGCTCGCCGGCGAAGACAGCGCCGATAAGCTAGACATTACGTCGGGAGAAGAAACAGCGGCGGAGAAGTCCAGGTGCGAAAACGGCGAGGACTGCTGAGAGATCTTCGACCTCACAGAGCGCCACAGGAGGCTGTTCAGGGCCTGGTGCTGCTGCTGCTGCTGCTGAGCCTGGAACTCCATGAGCGTCCGCTTGCCGATGAGGCCCGGCGGCGTCTGCGCCGGCTGCGGCGCCATCTGGGAGGAAGGCTCGAGGAAGATTCCGGCGAACTGCGGCTGCGATCGGAAGGGGGACTGCGAGGCGGCGCTGCCGTTGACGGAGCCCAAGGCGCTGGCGATAGATCTGGCGCTGATCCCGCCGCCGGCGGTGTAGAACTCCGGCCCCCCGCCGCCGCCGCCGCCGCTACCGCCGGAGAAGCCAGACGACATTCCGTCTCTCTCTCTACGCCCGTCTCCTATTCTCTCTCGCCCCGTAGGAACAGAGGGAGCTTAGGAAGAAGAAGAAGAAGAAGGAAGGAGGGGGAGTTGCGAGAGTTGGTACATACAGAAACGCATGAGAGAGGAGAGAGAAGGAAGAGAGAGAGAGAGAAAAAGGAGCAGTTTTTATGGTGTTGAATTGATTCTTTGTTGAAAAACAATTATAATGGAAAGGGCAGTTTCCATTTAGCTCTTTCAGCTTTTCTCCGGTTCTTGGTTTTCTCGGTCGATCAAGCAATGTTGGGTCGGTCATGGAAGCATATATGCCCCCCTCCCATCCGATCCCAGCCGTCCGTTTCAGCTAGCTCCCCCCCCGTCCCGAGATCTCGTATGCGAGATCGACGGTGATCAAGCCCCGCCAGATCTGCTCCACGGGAAGAAGATCCCCTTTTCTTTAAAAAAAATTTCGCCGCTCCAGCCCCACGCGCGCGTGCCAAGGAATTCACGGGTGCGGCGCACGCACCAATGGGGCGGGGATATTCGGCGAGAGTGTCAGGAGAAAGCCGCTGCGGTTGGTGGATCGACAGCCGCGTGCCCGCGCGTGGCCGCGAGGCGCGTGGGGATTTGACGATCGGAAGCCCGGGGGGGAGAAATGCGAAAGGAGAAGGAGATGATCTTTTTCGCTTCGGCAACTGATCATCTGACTCAACAGTCGCGGACTATTTAATAAAAAGGGTCGATGAAGGGAAGAAGGGGATGGATGGGAACCTGGGAAATTCAATGCTGACGTGGGACGGCGCCGGTGGAGCCGTGACGGCGCTGTCCGTCACGGCCCGTCCCTCTAAAACCCGCTCCCGCCCCCGAGAACCGTCTGGGGTTCGCCCGATTCGAAATTTCAACAGCTGGCGACGGGCGAATCCCGGTGGATTCCGGGTGGGGCGACGCACACGCGTCGGTCGCGGCTGGGCCCCCCACCCCTTTCTTTTGCGTCCGGACACGGAATTTCCCGAAACCCGAAAGATGTCTACGTTGGCCAAGCCCCAGCCATTAAAATAATAATAGCCCTGGCGTCCTGGGCAGATAACAAAAAAAAAAAAAAAAAAAAAAAGCGCAAACGGGAGAGGTTCGAACATTTATTAGTTTCGGTCGATTAAGTTAATAAAGCTTCGTTTTTGTTTAAATAATTCCTCAACTAATGGAATGGAATCTTCGCTCCGTTTTGGCGTCGAATGGACCGTATTGCCACTGCCGCACCTCCGCCGTACGTCGCGTGTTGAATTTGAGGACCCACGGCGATGTCAAGGTTCCCCCTTTTTTTTTTTTTTTATTGTTTCGCACCGCTTCGCCAATGCGTAACAACTAATTCCTCGTCCACAAGGAACCGGACGTGGCTTTTTAGATGGGATGATGACACGAATAGTCCTTTGAACTTTGGCCTGATATGCAATATAGTCCATGAACTTTTGATTTGTTCGGTATGGTCCATGAACTTCAACCCAATGTGCAATATCGTCCTTGAATCTTTAATTTATTCGGTGCGGTCCCTAAACTTTTGATACATGTTCAAATTAGTCCTTACATGATTTCATTAATTCAAGTTTAGGGACAATATTGAATATTTTCACATGATTCAATGACTAAATGGAACATGTTCAAGGACCATATCGAACAAATTGAAAGTTCGAGGACGATATTGTACATTGGACTAGAATTTAGAGACTATATTGAACAAATTAAAAGTTCGCAGACCACATTGCACATCGGGTTTAAGTTCAAGAACCGTTTGTGTAATTTTCCTAGATTAATATGAGTAGGAGACGCTATAATCAGAATACGGGATTTGTTGTACCCAAATCAAATGTTTAATCGCTCCACAGAGATGATTCTTTAAAGGTTCGTGCGATGTCTGCCTTAACTCAATCCTTTACAGAAGGCGGTTACTTGCTTAGAACATGACTATATAATGTATCATTAATAAGGAGAAAGATACGACCCATTTTGATAATACAGATATTTGATTTATATCTGATAAAGAGCATTTAAGCTCGCAGGATTTTGGAAGATTATAATCAATGGTCTTGAAATTAAAACTGCACGTTATAACTAGACAACGCAAAGGGAGACAAATCGAGAGATCTCGTTGAAAATGTAAGTGCGACCTAATTACTGCTATCAAACGTGAGCGAAACCTTGTTTGTGTCAGAGCTTTGCAACTATATAATGAAAGAGCTATTTCCTTCTGTATTATCAATTCAATTGAAAAACTTTCATTGGTTGTTTGGTGAACATTCATTTGATGATACTCACGAAATGATATATTAGCAAACTCGAGATTACAAATACGATGATAAGATCACCTCAAACGTAGAAATCATTTGGCGACTAACGTGTGTCACATGTGTGTATCATGTAATCAACAATAAAAGTCACCTAGTATTCCGCGGAATGAAAACTCCGTGTGAAGTTGAAAAGCTAAAAAGATACAATAGAAAGGGCGTCGCAAGAAAGGCAACGATGGATAAAGAATTACGCATGTCGTGATAAGGAAAAGAAAAGGCTTTATCGTAAACATGATATTTCATTTTTGCGATGAAAAAATATGTCTCTATTTTAATTAACAGCTCGAGAGTACTCGGAAGAGATAATCAATACTCGCATTTAATTGGTAAATTAAGCTCGAGACCCTCTCTTTCATCAAATTCACCTTAAATTAACATATGGCTGTTGGAACTCGTGGTTACAAAGCTTGGCAAGACATTGGTAGAGAATAAACATGTTAGAACCAACACCTCAAGAATGGCATAATTGGTCGGGCTATCGGCAATTAGCGGAATTAGAAGTTACGGGTTCGAATCTGACCAATTACATTCCAATTACTCAGGGTCAGGACCATCTATATAAATCAAACCCCGAACTTAACCGTTCGATATTATCCGGGTAGTCGGGCATCTGCACTAGATTGTTAAAAAGAACGCCGGAACTGGGAATCAATCATCATCCGTGGATTCTCTTCAAAATACTGTTCACTTCGCGGTCAAACCACCCCACCTCGCGGTAATGGTTGGTCGGAACACGATGAAACGGGTATTGAATGCAAACGATAATCTCTTTTTCTTCTTGGATTTCACACTTAAAGAAGATGGAAACGCCTTCAAATTGTCGGGGAAGCCCGTTATGCGTGAGCTTGGGTTGGGGTTAATTTGGGCAGCGGTTGGGAGTTAGGTGGGAACGATTAGTTACCTAAAATGCGTGGTGCGATTAGCATTCACGTCGCCAATCACATATTCATTCAAAATTCACAAAATCTTTAACTAAAAATTTGGTTCTTTCGATTTCATTGCACTTCCACTCAAAGATTCATTTAAAAAATCAAAAGATAAATAAACAACCATCATCCCATAAATTAAAGAGAAAAGCAAACCTTCAGTCGTAAGAAAGGTAAACCACAGGAGTTTGAACCATCGGTAATGGAGGGGTCGGGCCCCCGAGGAGCTCAGGCGACGGGACAACGGTCCCAAATGCATCGCGGCGCGCGTGCACACATAGAAAGAGAGAGAGAGAGAGAAAGAACCGTGGGCCTCGCCACTTCCTTCGGTGGGTTCATCGGAAATCCATGTCGAGGGTCGGCGAGACTCTAGCCACTTGCAGGGTCGGCGCGCCGCCTTCTCCCTTACCCCATGAGGATGATCGGCCGAGTTCACCAACGTCCCGACGCCGACAACGAGCTATAACATTAGCACTTCTATCCGAACGGCGGAGGGACCCAACTCGAATAAAAAACACACGAAAGCGAACCCGGAAAACGATGTTTGAATAATTCGAATAAAAGGGTTCATGCACATTCGGTATCTTCATCATACATACACGATCACGCACTTCGATGCCAGTGTTCCTTCTACGAAACACGACGACATTTTTCACCCGTACGTACGCCTCTGGTTTATCAACTGCGCACCGAGGACACGTCATCGTACGCTTGTCGGCGCACGACATCGAACTGAATGCGCAGTTTCACGCTGCTCTGGCGGACCGGAGCCAAACCGGGAACGTTAGACGATTGGTGGAGGAGGGGGGGGAGGGGAGACGACGCATCTTGGGACGGTAAAGGAGCGCGGTTGCGTGCGGGCAAAAGATTTGCGAGAAATTGGTTTAGCGACTTAAAAGAAAAACCATCCGAACCACCTTACCTTCTTATCTCCACCCCCACCACTTTCCTCGAAATTGGAATCTGAACCCTTTCTCCTCGACACGTGTCCACCTTTTGAAACGAGAAAAAACTATACAAAAATTTTGGACGTGCCAGTTGTTCCTTGCCTGCCCGCCCACCTCCAAAGTCCCGAACCATGGTTATTCCCCCCGTTTTCTTGCCTTGCCTTTTTATCTTAAACGGTGGGTATTGGAACGGGTGGCTTAGTGAGGATGCCCTAAAACGCCGGGCGCGTTTGGGAGAGTTTTGGGGAAATGTAAAGACGTTACGTGGATGATCTCTGATCGAAGGTGTGTTTGTTGAAGGCGAATAGCGTTTGGATGATTGATTTTTGGTCTGTATGCTGTAAAGCAACTTTGAAGCGATAAAAATGGAAAAAGAGACGACAAGCGATTGGGCGAGCATCGGCAGAGAGGGGCGGGGATAGTGGGCGAGCTTCGGCGGTGACCAGAGGTGACTGTTCGCTAGGTGACCCTCGTCACACCGAATCTCCACTGGTCAATGCTCGGGTGGTCGACCCTTTTCGCACCAGATCTCGACCTCAAATGGTAACCCTCTACGATTGATCGAGTCTCATCGCGCTACATCTCCACCTGTTGACCCTCGGCCGGTTGAACCTCGACAAACAGATCTTGTGCGACCCTCGGCAACTTTGGCAGCAAAGTCGACATCGACGTCGTCGATGAGACCTGAGGCCATCAGTTTAAGGTCGCTAGCGATTACTTGAGTTTTCAGTTATCGGGGGGCATTTACGGGTAAAAGCGAAATTTTAGTAAGTTTCGAGGGGCAAGGAAAGCAACTGAAAATATTCATCAATCTTTGGAGAGGGCTTTATGAAAATGCTGCAAAGCCAAAGTAGTCTAGATTTCTTTCAAAGTGGTCCAAATTTTTTTTACCGAACGCCCCTTAGACTTTAGTGGTCCAAAGTTGCATCCCAAAGTTGTTCCAACCGTAGGTTAACATACACATATTGAATGATGTGGTAAGTTTCAATTGGATATTAAGATAAGTGGGACCCACCAATTAAATCATTGATTATTCCATGTACCTACTACAAAATTGTCGCATCATTTTGTAGATTTTCTGTTTTT